TGATCTGACTGGTCTGGAGATGGCAGGTGAGGGAAGGTGGTAACTGCCAAATGAGAAAGGGTCTGGCCTGCCTGGCAGCCCCACCCACCCTCAGATCCAGTTTGGCAGCACCAGCCCCAACAGGCCAGCCCTGCCCATGAAGCAATGGGCACCATCCGCCAACCGCAGGCAGGGTGAGGCATCCAGGGTTCTGGGCTCTGGGTTCACTGCTGCCCTACCCCACCCCCACCTCTGCATCTGACTCACATTCTACCTTCCTCTTGGCATCCTGGTTAGAGAGCCCCTCTGTTTACTTCTCAGAGGTGTGGTGTAGATGGCAGGCAGAGGATAGAAATGGCCTCATGGATGGGCATTTTCTTTCTCCTCGGACCTTCCCCATGAGGTCTGTCTGAGTACAGAGGAACTGTTAGATTCCTTTGTGAATTCCCAAAACTTAGAACAGGAGAAACAGCATTTCTCTGTGACTTATCTTTAAAATGCAGTCAGAAAACTTCTATCCTATGGAGAAGGAGAAACCCAGGAAAAGTTCAGCTCTCAGGGACTCCTTCCAAAGCTCAGAGTGTTAGACCACGGTAATTTTAACAAGCATTTATGAGCCGCTAACATATGTCAGGTCCAGGGGCGGCGCCTGTGGCTCAAAGGAGTAAGGCACTGGCCCCATATGCCAGAGGTGGTGGGTTTAAACCCAGCCCTGGCAAAACAAAAAAAAAATGTCAGGTCCTGGACTCTGGTGGTGTAAGAGAGGTTTGAGTCAAAAGTGGGTATCAGGGCTTAAGGGATCAAAGAAGGTTCTGTTGCTCCAATGCCAGGGACTCTGGACAGCTTCCTGGAGTAAGTGGCATTGGGACTGAGTCATGATAGGTAGGAAGGGATTCTGTAGTGCTGCAGAAGGAAAGACATCTCCTAGGATAGGAAAGACAGGAGATGGGCTAGATTGCAGAGGCCTCGAGAGGCTCAGAATATATATGGACAAGTCCTCAGATCTCTCTGTAATCTCAGGCAGGATCTCCTCCTGGTCCCCAGAACCTAGTTTCTCATTTGTCAGAGAAATGTGCCCTCTTCTGTGTTGTGCTTTGGTACACGACTGAGATCCCACATGCAGAGCAACCTAGCTCACAGCAGTCATCTAGCACCAAGAGGAAAGGAATTATCCTGGGAAAGGCAGCCCCAGCATCTTCCCAGATCCAGGGGACCAGAGGGAAGATATTAACTACAGACACTTGACTCAGAGGAAACCACAGGGGTCTCCTGGGCACATGGATCTACACACCACCACCACCACCACCACTCTGTTGGCTTTAACAAACAAGGGAAGAGGGCATTAAGAAAAGCTCAGAGGGGCCACATGTTCCAGTAGTCAGAGGGCAAGCACTCCTAGTCAAAGCACAGATGACCCCCTATGTCCCATGTGCAGACCTCCTATGTCTTCTCAAGGCCATTTTTTTTTTGAGACAGAGTTTCACTATGTCACCCTCAGTAGAGTGCTGTGGTATCACAGCTCACAGCAACCTCAAACTCTTGGACTTAAACGATTCTCTTGCCTCAGCCTCCCAAGTAACTGGGACTACAGGTGCCCACCACAACACCCGGCTATTTTCTTTTTTTTGCAGTTGTTTAGCTGGCCCAGGCTGGGTTCAAACCCACCACCCTCAGTGTATGTGGCTGGGGCCATAACCACTGTACTACGGGTGCCAAGCCAAGGCCATTTATTGCTTTTATTTAAAGGTGCTAAGTGCCATGATTATTTCTGCCTGCCAGGAAGCCAACAACCATAAGTGGGCTGAGCAGGAAGTCAGGACAAGAAGGAATTCTGGTCTCTGCTGCACCCCCAACCCATCAAGCCATATGACTTTCAATCAATTTCTGGGTCCAAATTTTCTCATAAGTGACAAAGTTTGAGGGGTTGCATCTTGAATATGGTGGGGTGACTGACAGATGACACACCTGCAAGGCTGTGCCTAGTTAGGGATAAAGCTGAGAAATCCCAACACCCCAGACAGGCCTGGAAGGGGCACAAACAGAACGTCAGCGGGGGAGCAGGAACGGGAGGACTGTATGCCCCTGTACTCCCTCTCTGAAAAAGGTAGTCCTCCAGTTCCTGCCAACAGAGCAGAATAGTGCTTGGGGTAGAGTGGAGAGTAGAAGGGCTACACTAGAATAGAAGTTGCCCTTGGGAGGAAGCCATTGAGTGTGAGCAAGGCCAAGATGGCCTGAGCCTGTGGCCAGGGACTGAGAGAAAGGGGAAGAGGCCCAGCTCTCCAGGAGGGAGAAGTCTGCTGCTCTTAGGGCCTATACAGAATAGGAACAGCTACAGGGACCACAGCTTTTCCTGTTTCATGAGCCTGCTTTGTTCCAGGCTTCCTGCTAAGCGCTATCTGCCATCTCAGGTATAAGAACTAAGAGGGCAAGCATAGAAAGAGATAGGTAGAGATGGCATAAGCAAGTTCAGACTACAAGTCAGTAGAAGGCCAGCCTTATAACCTGGGGTATAGCCCTGGGGATGCAGAAATACACAGGGCCCATGACCTTTACCAAGGCTGAGCTGAGACAGCTGGGGAAAGGGCTAGACAGATGCAGAATGAGGGCTAGGACCCATTCATGGGCTAGATGAACTCCTTGGGTCCAGACCTGCTCATGTACTGAGGTCTCCAGGTCCTGGCCTTCCTGGGCAGAGGAAACAAGGTACAAATGGGGAGATGCCACTTTCCTCCTCATAGTCACAGATGCCACTGTGCCACAGCCTTGCTAGCCCAATCTTGGGAGCTAGTGAGAGCCTATCTAACTACGTAGAGATTCTAGTCTTGTATCTGGAGAGAACGAGAACAGAAAGGCATTGAGATAGGGGCCACATCTAATCTATGTCCCCCTTCAAAGCCAATGTAGAATCAGTCTTGAAAATCCCAATCCAGTAGCCCCATCAATGCTCACTTGCAAAGTCTAAAGGGGTACAGAAAGGAACCCACTCTAGGCCTGCCCAAGTTCCCAGTCCAGAACAGGGATAACTTGGAAGCCCTAGGTTCAAAAGGAGGTGCTGTGAAAATTCTTGCAGTCAGAAGTTTCCCCAAGTTATTCATGAGACATAGCACCTGTCAGAAGAGGGTCTAGCCCCAGGCCTGCTTAAAGCTAATGTTGTCTGAGCCTACAAACTCTGGCCTCCTACTCCATTTCAGTATCTAGACACCACAAGGGCAAGCCAGAGCTCAGTCTTGGCTCACAGAACCAAAGTGATGGTATTGAGAAGTGGTTCTCTGGCCTCAATTAGCCCTTCACCCACCCGAACTGCCCTTAACTCTAGCACAAGTGGAAGGGTAAATGGTGCTGAGGGAGATTATAAAAACTGTCACGCATCCCCTTACCCTCATCTGCCCTCAGAAAAGCCATCTTTTCTCTGAAGACTGAGAGAACCCGGCTCAGCGCCTGTGGCTCAAGTGGCTAAGGCGCCAGCCACATACACCTAAGGTGGTGGGTTTGAATCCAGCCCGGCCCACCAAACAACAATGATGGCTGCAACCAAAAAATTGCCTGGCGTTGTGGTGGGCGCCTGTGGTCCCAGCTACTTGGGAGGCTGAGACAGGAGACCGGATTGAGCCCAGGAGTTGGAGGTTGCTGTAAGCTATGATGCCACAGCACTCTACCCAGGGTGACAGCTTGAGGCTCTGTCTCAAAAAAAAAAAAAAAGAAAAGAAAAGAAAAAAGAAAATAAAGACTCAGAGAACCCCATGCCTAGGGCTCCACCCCATTCCACTGGGTTAGTGGGCCCAGCCCAACCCTGATTCTCCACCCCAGACCCTACCTCACGATCCCCTCCACCCAAGACCCAAAATTCACAATCCTGAAGGACAATCTCCTCAATTGGTCCTAGTGCTTCTGGAAAAGACACAGAGATCTGGACCAGGTCTATGCTCAGTGCTTGAAGATTCTGTGCCCTCAGTAAGGCCTATAGCCTTTACAGGTCCTCTATCAAGCTCTCTACATGCTAATTTTATTCAAACTCACAAATCCCTTATCTTTCCCCATGAACAGAGGCAGAAACCTAGTTTCTGAGTCCAGGATAGTGCCCAAGTTCATAGACCTGGCAAATATAGAGCAGAAATTAGAGCTATATCTGCAGGACTATACACTCAACGCATAATTGCAATTTTTGTAAAGTGGGATGAGGTTTTGCTATACTTCTAACCTCCAGGAGTCACTCTCTCTGCCATGTTCTACCCATTCGGGTGGCTACTAACACAAGCTACAAATGCATAAAGTTTCCAGTGATGACAAATTCAGGGGATTCTGATATGGAGCAGAGCCCTGAGCCCAGAACCATGCCTTAAACCAGAACCCCTCCCATCCCATACCATTCCACCTGTATCAGTGGGCCAGGTCTCCTAAGATCCTATACTTCTCCCTAGGAACTACAGTGGTCAGGGTTGGAGCAGGGCCTGACCCTTTCAACAGTGACTCATCAATACCCCATCAGCAGCCTCCTGCCCTCAAGTGCAATGGGCATTAGCCTTGCCCACCAGCCAGTCATGGGAAGCTCATGCTGCTCTAGCCCAGGCACCAGGGACCCTAAAGTGGAAGTAGATTCACTCTAAGCCTTTAGTGGGGGCTGAGCTTCAGGCAGAGGGAAACTCGGATCCAACCCAGTCCCAGGAGCTTCTCCTGGAAGAGATAACGGAACTGAGCAAGACCACCCATTGGGCCTGAACACGTTAAGTGCGGCCAGAACTCCAGAGCCAGGAACCACTCTTTACAGGCCTCTGGGTACCCATATTTACTCTACTCCTTGCTTTCTGGGACACCCTGAGCCTAGTTAGGCTAAACCTCAGTTTCTCCTGTAAACTATAAAAGAGGGAAGATCATAAACCTAACCTTAGAAGAGAATATAAAAACCAAGCATGACGCTGAGTATAGGAAGCTCAGAAGAGACCCTGGACACAGGCAACTGCACTCACGGGCTTCTGCTATTGGAACTTCCAGGTCACCCAGGCCTCAGTGAGGGGATCACTGACCTTCAGGGCACACTTCTGCCCAGTGCGCCGATGAAAGCACTCCAGCACCTTGCCGTTCACACCCAGGCCCAGAACCTGCTTGGATAACTGGTAGTCATCTGTCACCGCGTACTTCTTGGGATCCCGCTGTCCCCCTAGAGCTGGAGCACTGCTCGAGCCTGGCCCGCCGTGTGCAACTAAAGGGGGTACGGGACCCCCCTGCTCCTCTGCAGTTTCCATGTCCACGGCCCCAGCGGGGCACTCACAAGTGGCCCCAGCCTGGCGCGCTCAGAGGCACCTGGGGGAAAGGGGAAAAGTGAGTCCCGCCCAGACCTTTCCAACACACCTCCGCTTTGGAGCCCCTGACCCGGGCTGGGCTCTAGGCCTAGCCCTGGACAAGTTGGGAAAGTGGGGCGAACCGCCAGAGTACATATGTGCGGCAAGGGGCGGAGCTTCCGCAGCCAGGCATAACCAAGTCCTGCCCGGGCATAAGTGGAGAGGGAAGTGGCAAAGCACCTAGCGGCAGCGAGGTCCCTAAAACAAGCCACAGAGGGGGGCCCAAAGAAGGCTTACCTTGCTAGGGCCTACCTGGCCCCAGTGCACCTGGCGGAGGTACAAGCGAGAGGCAGGAGAGGCGGACCCGGGAACCTAGAAGCCGCGGAATGCCCTAGCCGAACCGTAGTGCAGTCGGCGCCCTCCCCCGCCCACACCCTGCCCCGCCCCGCGCGTCCTCCCTACTTGGGGCCCAGCTAGGTCAGCCTTAAAGGGCCAGTCGGGCCTCAGCTGGGCTGAAAAGGCGTCCCTGGTCCCGGCCCCGGGGCCGGGACAAAATAAGAGTCATGGCTCCCTGTGTAGATTGCTTTCTCTGCACGCTGCTAGAATGGCTTGCTAAGGCTTCTGACCTCCCTAGTGGTGACCAACCGCTATCGTACCCAGCTTTTTAATTCTTGCCAATGTGCTGAGGGAAGTAACATCGTTGTTTGATTCAAGACTTCTGGTGCCTCTCGGTTCCTCTCTGCCACTGGCGACTCTTTTCTTTTGTGCATCTCCGGGTCATATCCTTGGCTTTTTTATTCCCGTTGGTATACAGGGCCCTTGGGCCAGAAATCTTGAGTTTCCGTTCGGCCAAATCTGCCAACTTTTCGTCTTATTGTTTGATGTCATATTTTTATAGTCTTTGCAACCTTCCTTAATAATAGATATTCTCTATTAGCTTTGTAGTTTCCCCTTCCATAGTTAAATCTTCGCTTCATTCTGACCTCACCTTAGACTACCTTACATATATTGAACTAGTTTCCCGTTTCCCTCTGTTAACTCTCATTTCACAGATGAGGAAACTAAGCCCCCAGAGAGGAAACACTTGAGGAAACAACTTATCTAGGGCCACAGAGAGCGTGGTTATGGTTCTCTCCTGGGACAAAACTACACTACTCTAGCATGTGAGTAGCGTCCTCCCTCCAATTCACGGAAGCTGAGGAACCAGAGAGAGGTGACTTGGGACTTGGAAGGTTCGGCTGCGGGCTGGGTCTCTGCATGGGCCTCTGCTGCCATCTACAGGCCATCTTTAGGAATACAGGAGCCATGACTTTAGTCCCACCCAAAGGCGTTTCAGAACTGTCCTACTTTTGGCTTCTGAGTTGGTGCCCCACCAGCGACCTTCCCTCAACTCCTCCGTCTCTCTCCCTCCCTTCCTCCCTTTCTTTCTCTCTGTCTCTCTCCAGGCTCCCCAGGAACTTGTGCCCTAATCTCCATTCAACTGGCTCCCCACCACCCATCCCTTTACCTGATAATTGTTCTGTTAGTGAAGGGATAACTGAACGAGTGACGGAGTGCTACAATTATTGGTGGGGACATCATGTGTGCAAATGTTGAGTAAGAACAGGGATTTGGAGCTCTGTCCTGACAACCCAAAATAAGTGATTTAGTCAATAAATACAGACTTATTAAGCCAAAGTTTGAGGACACACCTGGAAAAAACACAAACCACAGGCAAATCTGTGATTGTTCTTCCAAAGCAAGATTTGGGAACTCAGTTTTTAAATGGGATGGAACATACAGAATTTTTTAAAAAGAGAGAAGAAGAGGGTGGGCATTGAGAAAAATGGTTACATTCTTGTGAGGCCCAGGAAGTCTATATTTTACATAAGATAAGGTGACTCCTAGAAGAGAAAAGGAGGGGAAAGGAAGCCCTATTTATGTATATATGTCCCTGGGTAGGTAGAAGAATGTTTGTTATTGTCATGTCTCTTCTCTGCACTTAGGAAAATAAACTTGTAATCAACACTATTAGTGTGTAATTGAACAGACTAGTTTTTAGGAGCTAAACTTAGCCTGCAGACCCAAAGTTAGTTACAATTTGCATGTCCTTGCCTATGGGAGGCGAGCAAGTAGTATCCTATTGATACAGGGTGGGTAGCCCCAGCCAACTCCTGAGCTGAAGGGAGGACCTGCCATCTCTGCCTTGGTGGTGTTGATGTGGCAGCAGCCAGCAAAGGAACCAGTGGGTTGGAGGGTAGGCAGCGGGGGACCCCAGCAGGAGGCTTCAGTAGCTAGTAGGGCCAGACAACTGCTGGGGAAGACACCACAGCCTTAGTGTCTCCCTCCCCTTGCACTAGCAGCTGACCTAGGCCTGGTCAATTTTATGTAAGTTTCCTAGCCCTGGGGAACAAAAGGGATTGTATCCATTCATTTGTTACCAAGTCCTGGCCAAATGTAACTACAGAGGACCCATGTGACTATATATACCCCTGGACAAAGAACCCAGGCAGAGCAAGGGAACTTTCTTCCCACTTGGATTTTTCCCTGTTTTCTTTTCTGTAAAATAAATCTTGTCTTACCACTCATCTGTGGTACATGGATTCATTCTTTAAATCACAGAGACTGAGGACCTACTGAAGAAGAAATTCCAGTATCACTGAGTGATCTGTGGGGGCAATCCTTGTAGATGTGTGGCCTTTTGCCTTTCCATGAGATCTGACTCATGCATACTGTTAGTGATAGCTATTCATTTAGAAGTAGGTATTGCCTAACTTGGCCTCCTGGTTTGACGTTTCTTTTTGCATAAAGAGTTATGAGGGTGTGGTTCTGAGATTTTTATATTCCTTTACAGGCCCTGTCTCTTCTAGGTAACCTTCAAGTTAGCAGTGTTCAGTGAAACAGGGGGTCCCGGAAGATAGCCTCAGCTGACCACATTGAAAATTGTATGCAATCTTGTCTTTTGCAATCCAGATGTTGGTCATCTTTTTGGGTGCCAGATGACCTCAGGAAAACTAGAGGAGAGGAAGAAGGGTAAACCCATCCCTTTGGGCCCACACTACATTCACACAGGACGGACAAGCCCAGAGATGTTAAGCAACCTGCCTGAGGTCAGCAGCTATCACAACAAAGCCCCCATTCCGACCTCAAAGCATCCCCTCAGCATTGGATTCATATCCACAAACCATAGCCTCCTCTCCTAGCCCTCCCTGCCTCCTCACACACACCCACATATGCAAATATGCACTCATACATTTACATATGTGCACACACAGAGCTTACATGTGGGTTTGTATATGCATAGACATACACATGCGTGCACACAGATACATATGCACAAGTGCACGTACATATTCATACACATTTATGCCCAGCTGGATCCAGCATCAGTATCCTTGAGTCCCACTTCAGAGCCCTAGAGAAAGCCCTGCAATCTGGAAGCTTCCATTGCTGGAAGTATGAAGAAGGCTCTGACCTCTGAAGGCAACTGGTTTGGACCCAGTGAACTTAAGGCTGAGCAAGGTCTCATTCTAGATAAGCAGAATGTTAGGCAGATGAGAGTGGAGGCTGGATCTTGTCATAGCCCAAGGTCATCTCAGTGCATGCTCTGTGAAGATGTCTTCTTTCTTAAAAATAGAATTAGAATTATTCTAAAAATTTTATAATTGTATTTTAAGCTGGTATCTTTTATTAAAATTTTTAATCGTATAAGTAAAACTTGCTCATTGTAATTAATTCAAATCATATGGAAATGTAAAAGTAATGGTGCTGCCTCTCCCCTCTCAGTTCCTATAAGCAATGCCCATGTGTCTACAGGCACACACATTTCCCATATGGGTCCATTAGAGGCAAACACTTTGCAACTGCTCATTTAACCCCAGCACAGTCAGAACATGTGGTTTCTCTTCAATGCTCATTTTCCAGCAACCACCTGCCATATCTCTTTTCACAATGATAAGAGGATTCAATATGTGAGATGGCTGAGCCTTGGCAGGGGTAGTTTCATGATAGCAGACTTTGCCACCCAGATTCCATAATAGCTATGTGTCAAAGGGCACAGAGACTAAGGCTTTTTGAATAGCTTACAGTGACCAAGAGGTCCAGTAGGTAAATACCTGCCTGAGTAAAGGGGGCCAAATCCCATCCCCCACTAACAAGCATGTGGAATGTCCTTTGGGGGCAGGAGACCAAATGAGACTTTCTGCTCATGTCTGTGTATTCTTGTGACCCACTTGTGGTTGTTCTAGGAGGGTAAGGGAATCCTGCAGCAAGGCCAATCCCTGGGATGCAGAGGAGGAATTATCCTGGAAGGGACACTGGTTGCAATTCAGCTAGTAAGGTCATGAGAGGGAGCACCACTGGGTGGCAGTGTGGGCCCAACAGTCAGACCTAGGCTTGTGAGGAGCAGCCAGGGCAGAATTAAATAATGAGGAGATGGCCAGAGACACCCACAAGCCTAAGTCAGGTAGGCACCTGGCGCAGAACAGGGACACATCACTGTTTTCAGCATATGGGCCAGGTCCACAGTGTTGTTACATTCACAAAAAAATAGTTGGAGAGCTAAAACCCTTGAGAGCTTTGGTTTACACATACTGTCTAATCATTGACCACTGTAGGGAGTGATTTCAAAGAACACCCATCATACTCTGACTGACTGGTCTAAGGACAGGGAAACTTCACTGAGGACCTTAAAGCTGGATCCTGAGTTGGCAGATCACCAACACTAGAGAAGAAGTAAGTAGAAGGGTGTAGGGACTTGGCTCCAATCTACTACTTGCCAGCTGTGAGACCCAAGGTAACAGTGTGCCTCAGTTTCCTCTGTAAAGAGGGGATAATATATGGTAGTTATGACAACTAAATGAGGCTGGAAATTGCTGACAGTGTCTTGCGCATAGTAACTGTTCAATAGAATAGTCATGGTAAGAGGGAAGGAGTATGAGCTTGGCTTGGAAAGGTTGGGATTTAGACCCAGTTTCAAAACCATGGCTAAGTTGCATGGCAGCTGCAATGCCCTTTTCTCTTGTTAGTACTAGTGACACAGGACAGGTGGCTCCCCAGCCAGCTCTGTAGAGCTGAGGGGAGGACCTGCCACCTCAGCCCTGGCGGTGTTGGTACGGTAGCAGCTAGCAGAGGAACTAGAGGGCTGGAGGAGGGGAGGGGCCATAGGAGGCTCCAGTAGCTGGAGGGGTCAGACAACTGCTGGAGAGACACCAGCACCTTAGGTCTCCCACCCCTTGTACTTGGGGCTGAACAGGGAACCCCCCATTTGCTAGGCCTGGGAATGAAAGGGATTGTAGCCATTCATTAACTGAGTTCCAGCTAAATGTAACTTTAGAGTACTCATGTCTGCTAAATGTAACAACTGAGTTCCAGCTAAATGACTCTATGCAACTATATATACTCCTGGACAAAGATCTCAGAAGGACAGACAGAGGGGAAGAAGAGAGCTTTTCTCCCCAATGGGTTTTTTCTCTGCCAAGAACTTTGATGTTTTTGTATTCTTTTTTGTAAATAAATCCTGTCTTAACCACTGATCTGTGGTCCATGGATTCATTTTTCAAATCACCAAGACCAAGAACCTACTGAAGGCCAAATCCCAGTAACATTACCACTGATCTGTGGTCCATGGATTCATTCTTCGTATCACCAAGACCAGGACCTACTGAAGACAAAATTCCAGTATAATTAGAACAGTGGATAGTTTCTACTAGTTAGATACCGTGTTTCCCCGAAAATAAGACTTACCCAAAAAATAAGCCCTAGCAGGATTTCTATGCATTTGTTATATATATATAAGCCCTACACCAATAATAAGATCTTGTGGTGGGCATGGCTATGCAGCGTATCTGCATAGCCACGCCGTGCATTTAGGCGCAGAGCAGTAAGAAAGACTGGAATACCTTTGATCTGCCACAGCTCCTTTCTCCCAGCCGTTTGCACTTGCTCCGGTGCGCATGTGGTAACCGCAGTCGCAGGCATCCTACTGCGCATGTAGAAACAGCTTGGGAAAGGAGTTCACACATCACTAGTGCCAGCCCCACCAACAGGCTCCCCCTGTCAGGTTCCAGAAGAAGATGACTTAACTGTATTTAAATAAATGTAGATTGTTGTATTATACTTAATAAAAATAAGACATTCCCTGAAAATAAACCCTAGTGTGTCTTCTTGAGAAAAAATAAATATAAGACAGTGTCTTATTTGGGGGGAAACATGGTAGAACCCCACACAGAGATCCAAGGTACCCTGGTACTCAAAGTAAGTTACAAGATATACATCCCATCCCACCCCCGTTCCGAGAAAATGGCTTCTGGCTGAAGCCTGGGTTCCCTTCAGGAAACTTACAGAGAAGTAAGTTCCCTGAAGTTATTTCTCATCTTGACCATTTTTCCCCTCACAGGGTCTTGCTTTCAGATCTCCTTTGTCCTCTGCCATCCTGAACAGGGCAAACTGAGCCCTGTCTACCCAGGGGGAAGCCTGGACACTATCATTCAGGCTCTTAAATACTGCCAGGGGTCTGTCACCGCTGCCCTGGATCTCAAAGATTATCTTCTTTCCCGGGGTACCTGGGGGGACACACTGAGCACTGGGAGGTAGGAAGTGGACCCTGCTGCCTCTCCAAATCCCACTCACCTCCACTCCCTTCTCCCAACCCCGTTTTTCTGGCCCAAGGATTTGAAGGTTTTCCCAAACCCTATAGTCCCTTCAGATGCTCCCTGGTGACTCCAATGACCTGAAAAATTGGTGGAGGGGGTCGGGTTAGGAGCGTGGGCTCCCACTCAGAACAGGAATCAAGTTTCAGCCCTGCTATTTCCTAACAAGACATTTGGTTCCCTGGGGCTCTGTCTTCTGTTCTACATAATGGGGGCAACACTAGTTATTGAGAATCAAATCTAGCAAGTACTCCCTAAAGATGGGAGGAGATGTCACTGCTCCATGCACCGCACACACACACCCCACCTCTATTACCCTGCCTCCACATTATCTCTGAGTGTTTAGAGCTTCATGTATCTCTCTCCGCACTTTGGGGGGCTGTCTCTGCCAGCCTTCTCCAATCTGTAGTCACTTCTTCCTGGTTGGCTGGAGCCAGCGAGAGTTAAGTATCGCCCGAGACTGGATGGTCTCGCCTGATGCAAAAGGGTTTGGATGTCCCTTCTCCCCCAACTCTTTCAAAGAACATGTTCTTGCCTAGATTCTCTTGGCTGTAGTGGCCGCAGGCTTTACCTCAGCAGGCCTGCTCATTCCTGGGGCTGTCCTCTTTACCCTGCCGTTCCCCCTGTGTTCTTTTTTCAAGCCACCCCACCACCGGCCACGCAGTCCCCAAGTCCAGGCACCGCCCAACAGGGGGCGCTTCACACCCTGGCAGACCGCCTTGAAGTGGGGGCTAGCAGGAAGGACAGGCCTGTGACCCCACCCCCGCGCTGCCACAAGTTCGACAGTGAGATAAGAGAGCCCTTCCCCAAAGATGACTGCCAGGAAGCAATCTGAGCTCGGGTTGCAGGAGCCTGACTCCTCCTTAAACTCCCCCAACCGGTCTTTCCCTATTGGTCTCTCAGTCCCTACCCTCTCGGTCATGTCAGCCTTAGGTCCACACGCTGCAATTGGCCCGTCCAGGCCACTCGGCTCCGCCTTCTGCGCTGCAATTGGTCCGTTCGCGAGGTCCGCCCGGTTTTCCTGGAAAGTTCTTGGAAATCTGTCAAAGCAGTTTCCTTTCACGGTCCTAGGCCCCAGACAAGGTTGTCGGCGCCCGCTCACCCCTCCCGGAGTCCACTGCACGGCCTGCGGTTCTAGGAAGACGCCGCTTCCGGGAAGGACTGAGACTCGGCGGACAAAGGATTAGGCGACAGCTCGCTCCGCCCTGCTCGCCTGACCCGCCCCCCTCGCCCTCCCTTGCGGTCTGCGCCGCAGCCTCTCAGTCCCTGCCCGCCGGTGCGCCGCAGGAGCTTTCCCTGCGCTAGCTCTGGGCGCCCCTGACTCTTGCAGCCGCCGTTTAGCCGAGTCCCTACTCCGGAGCAGCCGCCGCCGCCGCCGCCGCGGGGATATGGTCCTCTGCGTTCAGGGGTAAGCGCCTCTCACCGTCCCCGCCCAACCTCTGCTCAGGGCTCACAGGAAAGCACCAGCCTCGGGCTAGCTGCGGAGCATTGGGAGGGCTTCACCTGCTGGATGCGACCGAGCACACGGGGACTTTGGGAGTGTAGCGCTGTATGGGTTGTTACCCCACCCTTCCCCCACCCACACACTCACCTCAACTCACACTGTGGGTAGAGAAACTAGGGGCTGGCCTGCCAAGGGAAGAACACAGGAGCATAGGATGGACTCAACTGGTTTCTCACTGGAGCAGGGCGTCCTCCAAGACGTGGCTCATCAGCCCAGACCTCCTTCTGAGACCAGAGCGCTGTACCCCAGCGTGCTGGTGACCTTGGACGAGCCCCTACCCCTCTCCATCCTGGTGTCCACTCATCTGCTTTAACTACTAACTGGGCTCTTCTTGGGAGCCAGCCTGAGATTCTTGCCTCTCTCTAGGCTGATATCTGATAACTAGCTCTTTTGGAAATTCTGGGTTCGGCCTGGTCCTGCCTGGGGTAGCCCCACAATTAACTCACCCTCTCCTCTCAGCCTTATCTGGGATCACAATGTGAGAACAGTGGCTCCTGCCTTCCATCTCCAAATTTCCCAAAGACTTGGGGTGGGGGCCAGTAGATGGGGAATGCTGAAAAGATAGCATTTTGGCTCTTGCTGAGCATTCTGGGCACATCCACTCTACACTGAGCCTCAGTATCCCCTTCAACCAAAGGGTCTCATGTCTTCCACACTGATCTGACAAGAGCTCAGGAAGCTCCAAGGAGAGAGGATGGAGGTATAAATGGGTGTTCCATATCTAGGGAGGGCTGAGTTGCCCAGTAGCTGCTGTTACCAGCACTGTCATAGTGCCAAGTGAAGAAGGGTAGAAGCTGTGGCCAAGCTGACGTGCCCTTTACTCTGAGCAGTTCTTGGTCCAAGGAGGAGGACATGGAGGTGCTGGGAAGATTACTTCTCCCTGGTTCCTTCTTCCTTTCTGAATGTTGGGACTCCTGAACACTTGCCCCTACCATGCCTACCCCTTTCACTTTACTCTAGCTGAGGGCCCCTTTGTAACTTCAGAGCCTAAGTAGGGTGTCAGGGGCAAGGTTTTTTAACAGTTTTCACCCACACACAGTCACAAAATAGGTGGTGCCCTCCTAGATGGAGGGCAGAGATTCCCAAATATAGGTTTGAACTGGGAGCTTTTCTGAGGGGGTACACCTAGGGGGAGTTCACCCCACTGGCATGTATCCCAAGGTAGGACTTTCTGTCTGGGCTCCACAGCAGGCACACACATGTACCTGGAATACACTAGCCACCACCCCCACCAGGACAATGACACAGCCATGGACACACCCCTGTCCAGATACACAGTCATTCACCAGAAGCTGTGGAAATCAACACTGCCATTCACACACCCAGCTATCACATCAGTCCCAAGGGGCCCACACCCACCCGTGGGACTTGTCAGAGCTAGGGGTGGGGAAGCTACAGCCTTGAGGTCACATGTGGCCTTCCGGATCCTTGAGTACATCCTTTTCACTGAATCCAAATCTTACAGACTAAATCCTTTTAATAAAGGGATTTGTTTTATGACATTTGGATTCAGTTGAGGGGCCAAACTTGGGGATTTGGAGGGCCACATGTAGCCTTGAGGCCATGGGTTCCTTAGCTGTTTAGATGGACATGGCTACCCTTAGAGGTTCCAATCTGACTGGCTAGCCATTTTCCATGCCCCAGCAGGGCAGTCATCTCAAAATTTGGGTCTCCCATTCCCTGAGTAGGATTTCGGGTTCCCACAGGACAGCTAGGGTAGGTATAAGAAAGTAGTTGGCAAACTAAAGTATGCCAGGGTTGTGTGTGGGCCCTTCTTCCAATGAGTGGTTATAGAGTCATGATTTATTAGAACCTTCTAAGCATCACCAGTAGCCTACACTATCAGGTCTGGCTCATTTGCCTGCCACCAGCTCCTGCCCACCTCTTCCTGCCTCATAGGCAATACCTGACAGTTTGCCCATGCTGTCATTTCTACATGGAGGGCCTTTCCCTAGCTCCTTCCTTGAGCCTGGCAGTCTAAACTCAGGAGCAAGCACACCCTGACTCCCCCATGACACCCTGCACTTTTACAACTTTGGGTTATAATTGTTCTTAGTGCTACCTTCCTCAGCCAGTCCTTGAGGGCAAGGCCCATGCTTTCATTATCTCAGTGTTCTGAGGCCCAGCCGAGGGCTATCACCAGAACTGAGGCCAAAGGATATATTTTATAAAGAGACCAATAGTCTCTTTCTTGGGAAGCAGAGCCAGTCCTTGCCCTACTCCTAGGGAAGCCCTGGGATCACCAGGCTGACCAGACTTCTCTTAGGAGGAAGCTATTAAGATTTTGGCTGGCTTGCTTCCCCCAACCACAGCCATCTGAGGATGTGGTGTTGCCAAACCTCTCAGTATGTGGCTGATGGGAACCTTTATTGGGGAGAGGGGAAACTGAAGCCCACTGAGAAGCATAGGTCATAGAGCCCAGTAGGGATGGCTTACTAGGGTGGGGTTTGGAATGTGGGTTAAGTACCCTGCCCTTTGGTGGGAGTTCACATCTAGGGAAAATGACACTTGCCAGTGCTTTAAGACACCACTATCTACCTCAAAACATCAGCTGTGAGAAGTAGATGCCAGCACGAGGTAAGGGATTATTTCAGCCCCTAAGTGCTACTCCTATCCATAGAGAGGTAGAATGTAACCTTGGGGAATCCTTCTGTAATCTTGGGGCCTCTCTAGCAGACCCTATGCAGACCCATGGAGAGGTAGAATGTACCTTGGGGAATCCCTCTGTAATCTTGGGGCCTCTCTAGAGGACCCTATGCAGACCCCTATCCTATTGGCTCAGCTGGGACTACTGCTGTTAAATCGGCTTACCTCAGCCTAGGTGGCACAAATGTGAGACTACTTTGTACTGGATTCTATTAGTGTGGTAAGGACACTAGAAATGCCTACAGGGGATGATCTGTGTCTTGGATTGATACAAAATAGAGGGATTAATCACTGTTTAATATGGTCAGGCATGGTGGTTCTTGCCTGTAATCCTAGCACTCTAGGAGACGGAGGTTGGAGGATTTCTCATGAGTTTGAGAGCAGACTGAGCAAGAGTGATACCCTGTCTCTATACAAAAATAAAAAATAAATTAGCCAGGTGTCAGGGTGGGCACCTGTTAACCTGGCTACTCAGGAGGCTGAGAGCAGGAGGGTCACTTGAGCCCTGAAGTTTGAGGCTGCAGTAAGCTATGATGATGCCATTGCATTCTAGCCTAGGTGACAGAGTAAGACCCTGTCTCAAAAAAAACTTTAAAAAAATTAATTTAATAAATGCAGGAGAGTGAAAAAGAATCTTTAAAAAGAGGATCTGCACATTGGGGAAACACTTAAGGGGGCTTTTGTTTTGTTTGTTTTGTTTTTTATTGAGATAGTCATATTATATCGCCCCCATAGAGTGCCATGGCATCACAGCTTATAGCAACCTCAAACTCTTGGGCTTAAGTGATTCTCTTGCCTCAGCCTCCCAAGTAGCTGGTACTACAAGCACCTACCACAACGCCTGAGTATTTTTTCTTATAGTTGTCATTGTTGTTTAGCAGACCCAGGCTGGGTTTGAACCCACCAGCCCAGGTATATGTGGCTGGCACCCTAACCACTAAGCTATGAGTGCTGAGGCTCAAGGGGGCTTTTGTGATGACAAGTAGGGGATATGGATAATTGAATCTATGGCTGAGTAGAGGAGAAATTGAGGCTCATTAGTGAGATGGGCCAGCCTTAGGTCATGCAGTTAGTCTGGGGCATAATGGATATCTGGAAATGAGGGAAGGATGGAGCCTCCACTCACTGCCCATCCACCTCCTTTAGACCTTGTCCTTTGCTGGCTGTGGAACAGATTGGGCAGCGGCTCCTGTCCCAGTCCTTGGAACTCCCTGAGTCAATCATGAAGCCTTTGCCTGCTGGGGCCTTTCTGGAGGAAGTAGCAGAGGAGACCTCAGCCCAGTCAGAGAGTGAGCCCAAAGTACTGGACCCTGAGGAGGATCTGCTATGCATAGCCAAGACCTTCTCTTACCTTCGAGAATCTGGTAAGTCTGAGGGAAGGAGCAGGTCTTGTCCTAGGAAGTCTGGTGGGAGAAGCTTAGCTCAGCCCATTGAGTCTGATTTGGGAGGCATGCTGCTACCCAGGAGAGGCTGATAAAAAAGGTACAGCCGGCTCGGCACCTGTGGCTCAAGCAGCTAAGGTGCCAGCCACATACACCTGAGCTGGGGGGTTTGAATCTAACCTGGGCCCGCCAAACAACAATGACAGCTGCAACCAAAAAATAGCCAGGCATTGTGGCGGCCAGCTGTAGTCCCAGCTTCTTGTGAGGCTGAGGCGGAGGTGGAGGCAGGAGAATTGCTTGAGCCCAGGAATTGGGGGGTGCTATGAACTGTGATACCACAGTACTCTACCCAGGGTGACAGCTTGAGGCTCTGTCTCAAAAAAAAAAAAAAAGAGGTGCAGCCCTCTCCAGGGAAGGGGAAGGCATCACTCTGACCCCTGTCCTGGCTTAGTGCCCCCAGCTTATTTCTATTGTAACCACTCCCTTGGTCCCCTCTCCATTTGCCTAGGCTGGTATTGGGGGTCCATTACAGCCAGTGAGGCCCGGCAACACCTGCAGAAGATGCCAGAGGGCACGTTCCTAGTTCGAGACAGCACCCACCCCAGCTACCTATTCACACTATCAGTCAAAACTACTCGCGGCCCCACCAATGTGCGCATTGAGTACGCCGACTCCAGCTTCCGCCTGGACTCCAACTGCTTGTCTAGGCCTCGCATCCTGGCCTTCCCAGATGTGGTTAGCCTTGTGCAGCACTATGTAGCCTCCTGTGCTGCTGACACCAGAAGTGATAGCCCTGATCCCACTCCCACCCCAGCCTTGCCTATGTCTAAGGAAGACACACCTGGTGACCTAGCGCTGCCTGCTCCTGTGGCTACTGCTGTGCACCTAAAACTGGTGCAGCCCTTTGTGCGCAGAAGCAGTGCCCGCAGCCTGCAGCACCTCTGCCGCCTTGTCATCAACCGTCTAGTAGCTGACGTGGACTGCCTACCACTGCCCCGGCGCATGGCCGACTACCTCCGACAGTACCCTTTCCAGCTCTGACTATCTGACTGGGTCTAGCAACTTACCCAGCCACACTCTGGAAGAAACACCAACCCCAACTGGACTTGGGCTCCCACTGTCCCTGCTTCAGTGATCTTGGTGCCTGTATGCATCTGGCAGCTGGACCAGAAAAAGCCAGCAAGAGCAAGGTGGGGTGGGGAGGAAGTATCACAAACTTGGAGGTGAGTGCCCTCAGGCCCCATGTGGCTCCACTGTGGTGAGCCATGTGTCAAAGAAGAAGGAGGCAGGCAGGACCTTGTCTCCTTGTGGCCTCCACTCACTTCCCTGCCCTGAGGAAGCACTTGAACTGTGTGGACACTGTCAATCCTAGTTTTCCAGTACCCAGGGTAAGGCAGGCCCCCTCCGGCCAGCCTCTGTTTCTGGGAGGATGGCAGCCAGAGGCACTGAGGTTGACAGTGACAGTCCCCTTGTGGGGGGTAGGCAACACTAGGGACTGCACAGTAATATAGTATTTATTTATTTATTCTCCTTGAGGTTGGTCTCAGGGGTAAGCCAACCCCACCTCTCTGCCCCAAGCCCTGGATAGTTCAGAGACTCCAACTGTGCCTTGGCTTCAGAGAGCTTCATCCTGAGACACATTGCTGGACCCAAGGCAGTCTTGGATGTCCTGGCACTGACCCATCCACCTGTGAATGTGTCTACTCTCTTCTGCCCTCAGACCGGTTCTGGGAGGGTAGCAAAATGGGCCCAAAAAATGAAGCCAGGGCCTCAGTCTCCAGCAGAGCCTATGGCTCACTCCCTTACTAGGCAAAGCCATACCTGCACAGAGCTGGCACAAGCCCTGTGTAAGTGTGTGCACCAAGTAATAAGGAGGGGTGTTGGCTTGAGAGCTACTGTGGCAGCTCTGCTGATTCTGCTTCCTGCCCAGGAAGGTGCCTCCACACAAAAGAGAGAAATACATATCTGATAAGTCTTTATAAAATAATTATTGTAACAAAGAAAACAGTTTGGTAGTCTTTTTTCTTACACTGAATTTTCTGTAATGACAATAAAATTATACCTTTTAATTATGGAGCCCTCAGTGAGGCCTCTTTTGAGTTCTGTACACAGTTTATCCCTTTTGATCTTGTCCCCTATTTTACATCTGGGCTCTCCAGGCCAAGGCCCAGAGCCCTATGGGGCTGAGCAGTCCCTGCTGGGGAGCTCATGGAGGAGTGGAGGAAACAGGGAGCAGCCTTTCCCCTCTCATTCCTATTGTTCCCCTTGGGAATAAGATAGGGAGTAAAGGCCAGTTGGACTGCCTGCAGAGTCACCGTCTAGGCCACTGCCAAGCAGGGGTTAGTGGCAGAAGAGCAGCAGACCTGAGAGGTATGCAAACAGGAAATGCCAAGTCAGAATTGAAAATGGAGAATACCAGAGGAGAAGGTGCTGTGGACTATTCCTTGGGACAGTATATTTTGAGATGAGGATGCCAATTGTCAGAGAAGTCAGGGCCAGTCCTCCCAGGGAGGAGGTACAGTTAGTGCAAAGGCACTAAAGCATGACTGAGAGGCTCATATTCCTGACAAAAGGAGGCCTGGGGAAGGCTCATTCTGTGCAGTGGGCAGGGCATTGAATCAGGGATAGTGGCCAGTAGGCTGGCAAGATCTAGCCTGGAATGGGGGTATCTGGCTTCTGGCCCAGGCTAGATGGGGTTGGGGAACCCTGTCTTCTCATTCAGGGTACTGCAAAGCAGAAGTGGGTAAAAAAGCAATTAAAATGAAAACAATCCTCCATTTGGAACACTAGCTGCTGAGATATTCCTATAACCTGAAATTTTCTGTACTTTTGCTTAAGGGCCCCACAGGAAAGCTCCTCTAAACTATAGCTTTTAACTCTTTCTTCGGAAACAGTTCTAATTTCCCTGTTTTCTTAACCCTCAGACAATTATAAGTAGTGATTAGAAGGAACATATGCTGGCAGCGCACAGTGGCTCACGCCTATAATTTTGGCAATCTGGGAGGCCAAGGTGGGAGGATTGCTTGAGATCAGGAGTTCAAACCAGCCTGAGCAAGAGTAAGACCCTCTTTCTACTAAAAATAGAAAAATTGTCTGGGCATGGTGGCTCACGCCTGTAATCCTAGCTCTCTGGGAGGCCAAGGTGGGTGGATTGCCTGAGCTCATGAGTTCAAGACCAGCCTAAGCCAGAGTGAAACCTAAAAAAATAGCCAGTCATTGCAGCAGGCACCTGTAGTCCCAGCTACTTGGGAGGCTGAGGCAAGAGAATGCTTAAGCCTAAGAGTTTGAGGTTGCTGTCAGCTGTGATGCCACAGCATTCTACTGAGGGCAACAAAGTGAGACTCTGTCTCAATAAATAAATAAATAAAAATAGAAAAATTAGCTGGGCATTGTGGTGGGTACCTGTAGTCCCAGCTACTCAGGAAGATTGAGAGAATCACTTGAGCCCAGGAGTTTGAGGTTACATTGAGCTATGATCATGCCACTGCACTCTAGCCTGGGTGATAGAGTGAGACTCCGTCTCAAAAAAAAACAAAAACAAATCTTGTTGAATTAAGAGCAGGAAGGAGTGAGGCATGATGGTTTGATGACAAAGAAGAAGCAGGGAAAGGATAAATAACAAGAACTCTGGATGCCAGAACCTTGGGGAGATGAAGATGGCTATGGCAAAGAATGGGAATGACACTGAAAGGGTAAAAAAAAGGTGGGTGAGAGAGGTGGGTTTTTATGAGGTGTAGTGCCCAGGTGTCCAGCCTGGCACCTTCTCTGTTGCTGGCAATGGCTTGGGCCCTTGGCTGCTAAGGAACCAGACAGCATGCTTCCTCCAGGTCATCATGGCCTTGCCAGGTGTCTTCATTCCTTCAGTCTCAATCTTAGCCCTCTTGTCATTCCCCACATGCTTGAGGTGACCTTTTTGTGGGCTCTCCTGTAAACCTGAGTCATCTGATGGATAGGTAGTAGACATGGAGGAGCCAAAGGCGGGCTGTTCTCCACATGGTGTAGTGACCTGGACCAAAAGCTGCTGTGGCAAGAGGAAGCACAGAAAACTTGTCATTGTCCCCAAAGCCATGTTTCAGGTTTCTCTTCCAGGGAAGTGAGTGATAACCTGCCTACAAGAGGGACAATGGAAGGCCTGTCATTGGGCCCCACACCTAAGTCAGAGATTCAGCCTTACATGCCGAAAATCCTCTGGCTATTACAATTACCCCAGGGCGGTTCTAGGATAGTAAAGGGGGCACACCCTGCTGACACTAGCCAAGGAGAAATGGATGAGCCATTTGGTGGGTACAAATGACCCTGCCAAACATGTGACCAATAATTGAGGTAAAGCCTTCATCAGTACACATGCTCCTTGGGCACAGACTGGGCCAGACTCTACATAGGCCCTGGGGACACAGTAGGGAACAAACAGACATGGTCCCCATCCTCATGAGGCTCATGGGCTAGTGGGAGAGATAGCAAACAAGTGAACAAATGGGTACACAGATTTAAGAGTGTAAAAAAAGCAAAGCAGGGGGATGCAGAGAGTGGTTTGGGTGTGGGGACAGATGCAGGTGAGAGGGTCGGGAAATTCTGGGGCTGGGTGGCACTGAGCCTGGAGACCCAAGCAAAGAGCAGGAGCTGACCATGCAGATGACTTGGGAAAGGGATGTCCTAGGTGAAATAGCAGTGCAATAGCCTGGGAGTAGAAACAAACCTGGAGTGGCTGCCCAGAAGGAGTGGGAAGGGCAGTGCACTTCTTCAGAGTTTAGCAGGGGAGTGCTATGATGTGAAGACACATTTCTAAGGCATGCATCTGTAAGCTGGGTGGGGATGGCCCTATGAGGGCCTAAAGACAGGAGGCAAGAAAGAAGGTTGACAGGTATAGGATCTGGAAGGGTGGGGTATGGTGAGGGGCAGGAGGAGGCAAGACAAGCAACTGGGGTTTTTTTGTTTGTTTGTTTGTTTTGAGACAGAGCCTCAAGCTGTCAGCGTAGTTCACAGCAACCTCCAACTCCTGGGCTCAAGTGATTCTCCTGCCTCTGCCTCCCAAGCCGGGCACCCACCACAATGCCTGGCTATTTTTTTTTTTTTCGGTTGCAGCCATCTTTGTTGTTCGGCAGCCCAGGCTGGATTTGAACCTGCCAGCTCAGGTGTATGTGGCTAGTGCTTTCGCCACAGGCATCGAGCCAAGAGAAGCAACTTTGTGACCCTGGAATGCATTCATACCCCTATTGAGTTCTCATTTTTGTCCTGTCCACCAGCAGAAATTTTGCCTATTAGGCTAGGCAAGGTGGCTCACACCTATAATCCTAGCACTCTGGGAGGATGAGGCAGGTGGATTGTCTGAGCTCATGAGTTCAAGACCAGCCTGAGCTAGAACAAGACCTCGTCTCTAAAAATAGCCAGGTGTGGCTCGGCGCCTATAGCTCAACCGGCTAAGGCGCCAGCCACGTACACCTAAGGTGGCGGGTTCAAATCC